CATCAGTTGTTGTTTTTATCATGACATCAGTTGTTGACATCAGTTGTTGTTTTTTTTCTATGAGTTTTGTAAATGTAAATTTAAAAATCTAAGGCTTTTACTTTATTGTTATTTTATACAGCTTTTTCATTTAAAATTATCATTGAATGGGTATTTAATTATTTACTATGAATGTAGTATTTACTATTTAGTTAACTTAACTATTTAGTATGAATGTGGTATGTAATTTTTTAGTTCAAGATTACTATTAAAAACAAATATATATATTTTTTTTTAATTTTAAAAAACAGACAAAAATCCTCACAAAGTTTTTTATCATACATTTTTTAAAAGCACTAAAGAAAACATGACAGATTATTAAAACTTTGAAATAGAGCATTTTACAAAAACAAATTATTTTATGACTATTTAGTTACAGATTGATTATTTAGTAACAATTTATTAAGAAATAGATCTATATAAAAAGTAAATAAATAGATGTTGTGTAAATTCTAGTATTTTTGTTATGGCTGACAAAAATTAATTTTAAGCAACTACTCAACTTTTATTTTGTGCACTTAACTCTACCATAAATAAAATGAATGATTTATTTTCAAAAAGCTAAACAATCACAGATTGTCACATTTTAAAGTTAAAATGCAGTTAAATAACCTTAAGAAAATATTTCCATCCCAAAAAATTTATAATATGTGGGTGTGTTTCAGTTTTTAAAGAATTTTTTATGAAAATAGAAGTTTAATGTAATAAAAAATTTAGCTTTAATTAACATCATTTAAAAAGTTGTTTACATAAGATTTTGAGGTAACATGCACTTTAGATTACTTTTGAGTGTGTTTTGATTTTAATTTTTAAAGACACTTAATCTTGGCTCTCACTCTCCAATTATAAAAGATTTACGTGATGGAATGCTACGTATCAAACAAAAAGATTACAGCAAATTTTCTACTGTTACTGTTGATGAGTGGTTTGAAGGTGACGCTAGGGCTCAACTGAAATTTGTTGCACAATTTTGCAAACATCAACTTGGTAATATATAAATATATTACATAAGTAATAGGTTTTTATGTTTTTATTTTTTAAATTAAATTATAAATAATTTTTTTTTTTTTTTTTTATGTTTAGTAATAATAATGTAATTTGTTAAGTTTTTTTTTTTTTAATAAATATACAAGTATGATTTTAATTAAATTTAATTGTTACAAATTAAATAATTTTTTTAGGTCCATATTTGGCTTCTCTATCTCTTGATTCATCTCTTTACATAAACAAATTTGATAGCGATAAAAATAATCTTTCTAACTGTGGAAAACAAAACCTAATATCATTATCTGGAGGACAGGCTACAACAATGTAATTTTTTCTTTCAGAGTATTTAGAGTATTTATGCGATAGTATATATCTCTTATTATCTCTTACTATCTCTATTTTGTTATTCTGATTATTTTTGTCTCTTTTTTTTTTATTGAATAACTATTTCATTATATATATATATATATATATATATATATATATATATATATATATATATATATATATATATATATATATATATATTCATTCGTTTTTAAAAAAATAAAAGTTATAAATATATTTTCTTGACTAAATTTATTGTAATAAAACATTTTTTAAATATTTTCTACTAAAAAAGATAAATTACTTGATTGCAGTAATTCATCTACGGCTACAGCTACAGTTTATGATGACTTACCTGTTGTTGAATGTGAGATGACAATCCCAAGCATTGTTGTGTATATGGTTGACCCATTTCATAACAATTCTATTTCAAAAGATACAAACTTATGTTCATATATTGGTTTTTTGAGATCGTTCCTTGAAATGACATCTCAGCTGAATAGCAAATTAAAAGTCAATATAATTTTACAAGTAAGTATGTTTTATGATCATAGTAACTAAGGAAAAAAAAAAAGCAAAAGTAGTGTGAAATTTTGTAATCATAATTTAGATTATTCCTTTGGAGCAATTATTACAAGTTAATTCAATAGCACGAAAACATGACACTAAAGGATCTTATTGTGCTGAACTGAAGAGATTAGCATTAAATGTGTACTCTCAGTGTCGCTCAAATCCAACTTCAGATGTATTTAAAAATCAAAAATGTATGACTGGATTTGGCATATTAAATGCAAGGGAAAGTCTTATTAGAAGAAGACAAGTAAACAAATTTTAAAAGATCACCAATTTTAAAAATCAATTTGAAAAAAAAGTTTGTAATATTAAAGTAATCAAACTAAATAACTCTACTTTAGGTTGAAAATATCCTTCCGACACAAATTTATCATCCTGCATATGTCTTAGCTGATCCTATGAAGTATGTTAAATCAGATTCTTTAATATCTTCCACTCCAAGTTCTTCACATGAAAATATTTTATTTTGCTGTTACTGTTTATCATTGGATAATAAATGGCTTATTGTCATGTGCACAGACAAAATTGGGCAGTTATCAGAAACAACTCTTATAAAGACACTTCATTCAAATAAGTATATTATTATTTTAAATTCAAAATATATATATATATATATATATATATATATATATATATATATATATATATATATATATATATAGTAGCGTCCAAAAGTTTGCGGACAGACAAAAAAATATGGAATTTTAATTATATTTCAGCACATACTTTACTAAAGCCAACATGTTATATACCAATTAAAAGGTTTTCAAATTTACAATTAGGTTTTGAACAAATAATTATTATCTAAATAATATTTTTAAATTGGTATACAAATCAACGGTCTTTGATAAGTTCAAAAATTTGTGGACAAAGCATTATTTTTTAAAAAAGTTAAAATATTTAAACAATATTTGATCAAAATTTTGTCAAAAGCAAAATCACATTAGTATTTTGCAGGATATCCTTTACAATCAAGAATAGCTTGGCATCTATGAGGCATAGAGTTAACTAAATTAATGCAAACGTCAATGGGAATTAAGTCCCATAATTCTTTGATTTTATTAAATAAATCAGCATAATTTGTAGGCTTAATTCCTTTCATTTGACAGTCAACATGTTCCCATAGATGTTCTATGGGATTTAAGTCAGGTGATTGGGATGGCCACTTCAAAACATTAACTTAACTCTCTTTAAAAAATTCTAAAACCGATTTAGCTGTATGTTTGGGATCGTTATCCTGTTGGTAAATCCATCCTCGAGGCATTTTATCCTTTGCATATGGTAACATAATAGTCTTACATATATCTTTGTACTTTTCTTGATTCATATTCTTGGTAATTCTATGGAGAGGACTAACTCCATTTCGGCTAAAACATCCCCAAACCATTACATTACCTCCTCCATGTTTTACCGTAAGCAGTTGGTATTTAGGATTGTACCTAGTACCTACTGGACGTCGAACATACCTGATTCCATCGGATCCAAACAGCATAAATTTGCTTTCGTCACTAAAAAGAATTTTTGACCATTTTTGACTACTCCACTTTGAATGTTTTGATGCAAATTCCATTCGGGCGTTACGGTTTTTCAAGAAAACTAATGGTTTTTTAGCTGGGCATCTTCCAAACAAATTAGCGTGACGTATACGACGTTTTATAGTAGAAATACTACAATTCATTCCATAGAAACGTCTCATTTGTACGTTTAAATCAACAGCTGTCAAACGGGGATTTTCTTTGCTTAGTATTACAAGCTTTTTATCCTGATAACGCGTTGTTTTGCGTGGCCTTCCTGATTGATTTTTATTCTTTGTAGATCTATTAAGCTCAAATCTCTTCATAATTTGTCCAACAGCAGACTTGCCAACTCCATAAAGCTGTGCTGTTTTACGAAACGAGTTTCCATTCTGAACTGATCTCAAGATCAATTTTTTTACTGGAGATGAAATACATTTCTTAGATCCCATGATCTCAATCACTTATATATAAAGTTTTGAAATTATTTCCACAAAGTATTTGTTTATAAAATCAACAAATTAGCTATTTTGTGAAAATGTTAAAAGCGTTAGTTTGTCCGCAAACTTTTGAACTTATCAAAAATCGCCATTTTGTTAATCAATTTTAAAATGATAATTAAATATTCATTATTTGCTCCAAACATAATTGTTAACTTGGAAACCTTTTAATTGGTATATAATATGTTGGCTTTAGTGAAATATGTGCTGAAATTTAACTAAAATTCCTTATTTTTTTGCCTGTCCGCAAACTTTTTGACGCTACTGTATATATATATATATAAGCAGTTTAAGAATGTATTCTACAAAATAAAGTGCTCAATATTTTTAAAAGAGCAGAGCACTAATAAATTAGTAGAGTTTTTTGTTTAGTGATTTTTTAATAATTTAGATTTATATATTTTATATATATATATATATATATATATATATATATATATGTATATATATATATATATGTATATATATATATGTGTGTATATATATATATATATATATATATATATATATATATATATATATATATATATATATATATATATATATATATATATATATATATATACAGGTCTCTCGCCCACACTTCCCTAAAACGATTTACGGGAGCAATTTAAATAAACTCTCGCCAAAGTATAATTTTTTTTTCGAAAGTATAATTATTGTTGTAATTAAAATAAAAATGTCATTTAAAAAAAATTAATTGCATAATATACTGCAACGCTTTTTAAAAGACACAGTTGCAAAAAAAATTAAAATTAAAAAGATCCTCAATTTAATTATTAGTTTTGTTCACAGAGTTTGATTGACATATTTTATTTTATAATAGAAAATATATAATGAATTATTTTGCAAATAGTAATAATAACAGTAAAGTGCTGAAACAGGAGCAGACATTCCTGTGGAACCTTACTGTAATAAGAACCAGGTTGTAAAATTTTCACCATTAATGCATTTAAACATATAATTTAAGCATATAAAGGTACAATGCATAATAACAATAGTTCTATTTGTTTTGTTGCATGCATAATTAATTTGTTCCTTTTATTTCAAGTCATCAGCCAACATAAAACCTAAGTTTTTCTTACAGTAACTAAATGCAATAAAGTGGACTGAACCATATTTTGTTGTTATTAGGTAGTTTTTGCTTATATATTGTTTTTGCTTATATGCACTTTACATTTTGCATCATTTATTTCCATCAACCATTACTTTAAGAAAAATTGAAAAAAATAATTTTTTTTAAAGGGATCCCTAAGTGCTCCTAACATATGATCTCATATGAAAGAGCATAAAAAAAAAATATGTAAGTTTTTTTTCTTTTTTGCTAAATTGTAATAATAAATGCATGCTAACAAAAAGCAATTGCCGAAATCACTAAAAAACAACTCCATTTTGTTTTTATTTTTTCATCATTGAAACTCGATTGTTAGTCGTTAAAAATCACGTTAGTATGTCACAACAACTTTAGAATATCTACTTCGATTTTCAAGTAAAAAAAAGTCGTGATTAAATTGTTAAGTTTTAATCAGGTTTTTTTAATTAGTTTTGCAAAAACAGTATAATTGCATTTGGTTGAAAGACGTCGTTAAAAAAAAGTTATTAAGTAATAGTTTTAAATAGTTTAGAACTTATAAGAAAGTCTTACAGGGCTCGTATTAAGCGCGATTGCTACATACACTTTTGTGATTAGTTTTTTCTTAAAAAAAATCTTTTTTCAACTTGTTTTTGTTTTTTTTTGGTTGATTAGTTACTTTTTTTCTAGCTTAGCATTTTTTTTAGCAATTCTTAAAAGTAATGTTTTTATCATAAAGAACGTCACACAAAATTTATTATTCTGAATAGATAGATGAATAGATGATTTGCTCTTTCGCACTGAGATTTTCTTTCAACGTAAAACATTTTTCAATTTAAACTACTTTTAATCTCTGCGTGGAAAATTTTTACAAGGTCGTTAAAGCGAAAAGTTGAAAAGTTGGTTTTTATCTTTGTTTATCAAAACTTCATGTTTAAAATAAGGCTTAAAAACGTTAGAGCAAAAAAATTACTGACTTTTATTTGCATTTTTATACTCTTTGAAAAAAAAACTAATAAAAAAGAATCAATTGTTATTATTGTTAATTCTAATAATTATTAATTAATATATTATTAGTTAATTTTTTTTTATTAGTTTTTTTTTTTCAAACAGTATAAAAATGCTAATAAAAACCAGCAATTTTTTTACTTTAACGTTTTTAAGCCTTATTTTAAACATGAAGTATAATTCGATTTATTAAACCAAATTTTTTTGTTTCGTCTTTTAATGGAAAACTTGAAATAGAAAAATTGAATAAAAACATCAACCATTTAAATGAAAAACTTAATTATATTTAAACTTTTATTAGTCCTTTATTCAAGAAACAATAAATTTTAAAAAACGTGGTGTCTAATTTTTATTAATATTTTGACCATATTTTTTGATTTATTGACGATAATTTTTTCCCCCCATCGGCGCAAGCTATAAGATTTTTTTGCGTTAATTCGAGCCCTGTCTTAGTTTAATTTCTAATAAAATGTCTTTTCAACCTTATCAATTTGAACCAAAAAAATATAGCAATTTAACATAAATGTTAATTTAACTAAAGCATTTTACAATAATTATTTTTTTTATTAAGCAAAAATGAAAGTAACCGTCACTTTTGAAACCATAAAAATTACTGAAATAAATTTATTTTTCTACTAAGGAAATGTTTTAAATAAACTTTCATGTGTCTATATTCAATATTCATTTGTTTTTAACTGACCAAAAAGAGTTTAAAATTTGACTTCTATTCATTTTTAGCCGTGGAATTGCCCTTATAACACAAATATATAAATAAAAATTATAAAAAAAATTTTAATATACAAATATATTTTCACAAAATGCTACAAAACTTATTCTTGTAAGTAATTATGTGTTAGTAAAAAAACGACTTTACTTTTAAATTTAATTACCAACTAATAAGTTTGCAATAATGACATTTTAACTACTTTGTTTAATTTGACGTACAAACGTTAGTTTTTTGAGGCATTAGAGTCAATAAACTTTGGACAAGACGCATTTTTTTTAATCAAAGAAAAGCGTTTTTTTGAAAATCAAATTTGCTAGTGTGTGTTCATTATTACGTTTTAGAAAAAATAACATACATCAAACATTTTTTTTTTTTATGCTTTTTCATATGAGATCATATCTTTATAGCACTTAGGGATCCCTTTAATAAAAAAGAAAAATACAAAAAACAATCAATAAGCATACACAATATGTTAATAAAATATTATATGTACATTGTTGCATTAACAAGAAAAAAAACACCGCATGAAAAGCTAGTGGATATAGTATTAAATTATAATAATAAAGAGAAATATTAAATGACCAAGACTTTAATGCCTACAAGGCACATCAAAAACATTTATTGGTAAAACTGTTAATTAAAAAGTTAACAACTGATAATATCAATTTAACAAAAAGAATAGTGGATTTAGAAATTAATAAATTAGTTACCAGTCATATAAATAACAATGAAACATTTTTTTTTTTTTTTCTA